GTAAGTTTGTCCAACTGAACAAAATCTACTAATGTCAATAAAATTATAGTACAAAATGCTCATAAACTCAACTCCACCAATTARATTAGATGCGACAAAAGATCGACGTCTGAAACGTGCCTTAGACTCTGAAATTTAGCTGGTGTTTCTAAGGATGAAAGAAAACGACTCCGAGTAGCGAYATTGAATTTCACTACTATAGTCTGCCGTCTTTGCGTTGTACAATGTATATTAAGACTTCAGTATATTGATTGCATTTCGCTCATCTCCAGGTACAGCAAAGACAAAAGTGCGTTTTGTGAAATCACTCCGTCMAATACTACAGGRAACTGYTACAGATACCAGAAAACCGTCCCTGACTCTCTAGACGAGTCGACAATCAAGTACCTTCAGCGGTATTACGCCATCCACAATAAAAACCTTATGCGTATTAACCAAAAGATTCAGTTTAAGCTGCCAAAATGGCTGCAGGACATTGGTTGATACAACAAGGATTTCTATTGGTCGAGAAGACGTCATTWTAAAATACGGTATCTGATTGGTAAGCCGMGGATGAGACATTGATTCTAATTGGCTAAAAGGAACGATATCAGATTGGCTRAAGTAACAAGGATTTGGTTTGAAGTCTTTATGGATAAGACAGCATCCTATTGGATAAAACCAGGAAGAAGGAATCATTCTCATTGGATGAGAGATRATAAGGCTCGRCACCTCATTCCAAAAAAWAASSRAAAAAAGAAAAGAAAAASAAAATGAAAGAAAAACGAAATGTGATGAGAAGCAGAAACYCCAGGMTCTTCGATATTTTTCGTTTTTCACTCGATTCAACAAACTTGCCAAGCAACAAGAACTTTGCTACAAGGTGGTCATATCGAGCGCTGGCYGGTTGGATGAAGGTGTATTCGAATTGATAGCAGAATTACCACAAAGAATTGTTATRCAATGTYGAATRTGCTATRGAAAAGCATGTAAGTTTGTGARTTCAGAGTGCACAGCTTGCAACCGTTTTTGTGGCGTGGCAAACCGAATCAACATCAGGTGTAAATCGAGAAACATTGCTTTCAAACTTCAACGCAATAGACATTGTACATAARACAGTTTCATTCGACTTGATGTTCCTTGGATTTCGCYGCCTTAGCGGAGTCAATTCAAGAACTCTGCCAAACCGAGACTCGACTGTGTTTCACAGCTGACCAGTTTTGTGTTTCGAAATAACAAAACATATTAATTTATTCGATTCCCCCCCCTAAAAAAGAGAAAAAACAATATTTTTATAAAATAGTATGTACATAAAAGAGATGTATATTTTTCTATCAAAGAGAGATCTATTTTTGACGAACTTATGATATACAGATATAGAAATTAGAAGTTAATTTAGTAATTGTATATAAATAGTTATTATTATTATTATATTATATGAAAATTGAGTTAAAGCTAGGCCCTAACAAAGAGAACCCCAGGCCTCCACCCTGGGGATCGTTATCAGGTAGTTCAGAAGTCATGTATGTTCGCAAAAGTGAAAAAAAAGTATGAAAATAAATTATAAAAGAATATAGGTTGATAGGTGTTGTTTATAGAACGAGAGTGTCTATGTTATTGGAATTTTAGCCTGCGTAGCCAGGCGTTCCTAGGCGCTCCGAGAGAGTTTGGGCTGAAGAAAAAATTTCAACATAAGTGTACAGTTAAACTTTTATTGCACTATTCAGGTTTTAATTTTTACAATTTTTATCGTAATTYTATTTTTTTCTTTCCGTTTTTAATTAAAACCAGAAGTACATAACTAGGTTCTAGTTATKTACTTCTGTTAAAACGTTGTCATAAAGTCGTAAGACTATGTTCACGCTTCAACATGCTATGACGTAGCGTGAACCGGCCCTGACAATTTAAAGTAATTTCGCCTTCTATTTCTGTACATCATTCTACAAAAGGACAACTTTCCACACTCCATTATTCATAATTTTCTAGGATTTCAATAATTCTCAAAATTATTCTTTTATTTACTTTCATATGACGCGAGCAACAAATTCATCTTAAACGCTCACAAATTACTCTGCACTCTAGGATTTATTAGTGATAATCAGTGCTTGGTACGTTTTTCAGTCTTTTTAACGGTTAATGGAGAATACGGAAGTCATTTTTTGCACTCTGCTACGGCTCGTTCGATACCAAGAGAAAAATGTATGGAATGGCAATCGTTCCATTTTGGAAATCGGAAAATGAAGAGCACGGCTGGTCTAGTGAATGGAAACAATTGCTCAGACAAAAGCACGCGGCAGCCGATTTGCCTGCCCAAACTCCCATGCACCATCGATGTGTGATGTCAAAATCACTCAAAGGACCTATTGTATCCCGAGAACCTTTGCGGTCGTTTGCTGTCTTTTTTAAAGAAAGATCTATTGCTGAAAAATGTGTTGAAAATCAAAGATGGCGATTCATTATATGTGAGAAATTCCCGCAAAGGCTCCCGGATGTACATGATTAAYCAATTATTAATTATTATTAATATTAACCAATGCAAAACGAACGTGAACATGAGAGCCTCACTTGCCCAAAGCGTTTCTTTACAAGATCGTCCCACTTGACAACATTGCCATGCGAAGAGCTACATTTACTGCTGTATATGGCAGCGATTTCAGCCGATGAAAGTTCTTTGTCCCACATGTTTACCATGGACAGAGTTCCTTGTAATGCTTGGTTGCTGTCGTAGCCTCCCAAATACGAATCTGCGTCCTGACCGAGTATAACTCCACCTTTTTGAATGGTTTGGCCAGCAGCTTGAGTGCCTTCAAACCTGAAAGTGTTATACAGCGAGTCTTCTTGCAATTATTGTCGATTCAAATAACTGTTAAAAACATGGGCTCTGAGTCATGGAAAGAGTCATGACCAAGATAACACTATACGCAATAAAAATCGCGCACTTTGTAAATTTGACTTGTAAAAACTCATGAATAATTAATGAGGAAAACACAATAGAAATCGCAACCGTGGAGAGTGTTGTAATATTTGATACAAAACTGTCTTGATTTGCATAAACTTAAAATATAATTTTCTCAGCCAAATTCATGTTGTAAACATTACTTAAATATGATGTAAGTGTCCAAAGTGATGTAAATGGTGTAAATGACAGTTTGTCGACTTTTTGTCAAATGATCTCTGTCGATGTTCACAACCGAAATGGATTATGGTTATGCAATACCCATAGTTCTTATTTTCGGCCGTGTTTAAAGGGACACTGTCAATGGCACGCATGCGCGAGTAAACTTGAAAACATTAGGCTAGTGTTTTCAAGTTTATGACTCCAAGTTGGCGCGACATAAATCAGCTCGTAAACGTAAACAGATCTAGAATATTCCAAAGTGTGTCAAAAGCACCACAAAATGATTTACCTCGAAGGTAATACTTTCAAAGTCCGTTAGAGGTGAGACTGTTACTGCGCATGTCATCCATTGACAGTGTCCCTTTAA